TCTAAATTTTATTTTGGAAGAAGGCCACAGCCTCCTTTCATTCAAAGACAGACAACTTTGTCGTTGGCATAAATGACTGCTGGTCAATTGAGTACCATGAATATACTTCTCTCAGTAGTAAATTTTGTTCTTAGTACTCCGTTTTCCACATCTCATTATGAAGCATGATTTAGTACTCACAGCATCTAAACTGAGTTCTTTTTCATGAACTAACAGCTTTGTTGCTGTCAGTCTATAAATCCTGTCAAATTTACAACCTAAGTTTAATTTGAGGCTTAACATCTAGCTTTTTTGCAAATGTTCTTTCTGGTGCTGTAATTAAGAAGAGAAGGATACAATAAATTCACCTCCCCCCCCAAAAAAAAAAAATAGTATTTGATCACTTGCCAGTGTAGATTTCCTGAAGCACATATCAACAATCTTTTCTCTCTGTGAATATTTTGTTAAAAACTATCCTGTTGGAGCTCTTGTCAAGTTTCAACTCTCAGTAATAGTTGCAGCTTTCTAAAAAGTTAGCCTGCTTTTTGAAGAAAATGGTTGAGACAAATGAAGAAATTTCTTTGCCAAAATCACAATGTGAAAGTAATTGAAAGCTAATGCATGTCACTGTGAAACCTTTCTCCATTTCTTCTGTTTTGTCAGAGTGTGATTTTTATAAAAGTTGTTTATCTTGACAGATAATTTATCATATTTTTTTCTTATGGCACAAAGCACTGAATGACAGAATATGATGAAACTGTGAGCTACAAACATCGCCATCTACAGTACCATATTGTGGCTGCCTAAAAACATGTAATAGCTTCTTGCCACATTATGAAAGAAATAGAAAGAGTGGTCAGTACATTAAAATGTCTTTCAGCTATCATCACCCTAAAAATTGCAACTGCATCAATCTAGACATAATGTTTACAAATTAGGTTCCAATACCTGAAAAACATATTTGGATTATTTTAATCTGCAGGGTCTGAAGTTAAGTATCTGCTAGTGTTTCTTCACTGTTTCTGTATACTAAGGGTAACAAAATGGCACATTTGCTGTAATTTGGAAGTTTCCTGATTTACAAGAAAAAGTGACTTTAAATCTTTTCTACACAATTTTCAGGATCCAATGGGTTTTTAATAAGCTGGCTGTAATATTTTATATATATGCTGCAACAACCCGGAAGCTAATACTCATTTTCTGTTAATTTGCAGACAAAGCAATGTCTTCCAATATCAAACACACATTGATATATTTCTATTTCAATTATCAGAAGCATTTTTATTTTCCTTTCCCTTGAGCCATCATTAGCAAGAGAGGAAAAAATGTTCCTTAATTATCGGATGTATTGTTGGCTATGCCTGAGACTTTGAAACACTGTAAGTGTAAGTAAATTTTGGAAAATAATAGCATTTACATTTCTGACACATGAAGTTATCAACATAAAGAATTAAAACAATACCATGAAACACCGTTTTTTTAAACTCCTCTGTGGTCTTGTTCTCACTGCTTTCAGACCTCTTTGATACAAAGGAAGCTCTACATTTTATTTTTTAAAACTGTTCTAGAATTATTCTTCTAGTCCACTCTATTTGCACCTCTTTGTCAGTCTTCTGTGAATCAGTGAGGAAACAGCATAAACTTCATGATAGTTATTGCTGTCTTTATTGACTGGAAATTCATCTTTCAGGTCTATCTAAAATGAAAATAAAAAAACAAACTTCTTTTTTAGGGATACAATTTTCTGTCAATCAACTGTCTTGATTAAATGTTACCATCACAGGTCTTGTCACACTCATCGTCTTTGACCAACTAAAAATAATAAATTATACTTGATAACTGTCTGTTCCACATTCCTGGCTAGGAAGCAGCTATATTCCAAGTGCTGTGTTCTACATGTGCTGTGGCTAGCCTGTAATAACAGATATAACATAGCAGATATAGATCAGATTGTTTTCTTCAGAAGTTTGTTGCTGACACTGACATTCTGCAAGAGCAAATCTGAGCAGCAGATCTTGGGGAGTCTCCACTATTTTTGACATTTCCATTTTCATCCTCCTCTGAAAGAACCTATTTCTTTTTCCAATTCCATCCAAATATACTGAAACTTCATTTCTGCATTCCAGCAAGTCATGAAAAAGAGTAAAGTATTAAATGCTCTGTATTTCAAGCAGCAAGGTGGTCTGGGGAAATAAAATGGTTTTCAACTACTAGAATGTACAGTGAAATCCTTTAGTTGATGATTTCCTCCTTACCTCACAGGCTGTGGAGCCTAAATACAAATTTCCAGAGAGTCCCAGAGTATAAAGCCTCTGCTCGGCTATGTCTGGATGATGACGGATGGAGCACATAGTACTTGCTAAATCTTTGAACGGAAGAATAATAATATCTGTACAGATCAAGCATGTGCTATTTACATAACCATTAATGAGCATATCCAGAGTCTTTCCTGTCATGTCTTTTCCTGGACTGAAATGTAAAAATCGTCTCTTGGAATGATTCTGTGTTATTTAACAGGTAGGATCACAAACAAGGCTATACCTATGATTTCTTTTTCAGTCACACAATTTAGTGTGGCCTTAGGATAGTGCAAAATTTCTTGTGAGTTTTTTATTATTTTGTTTTGTTTTGTTCTGTTTTAGTTTCATTATTTTTTCCCCCCTAATTCTTGGATAGAAAGCTGTGCAGAGGAAAAGGATCTGGGGGTGCTGGTTGATGCTCACCTGAACATGAGCTGGTAGCGTGCCCAGTTGCTCCAGAAGGCCAATGACATCCTGGCCTGTATCAGGAATAGTGCAGCCAGCAGGAGCAGGGAGGTGATCGTCCACCTGTACTCTGCTCTGGTGACGTAGCACCTTGAGTACTGTGTTCAGCTTTGGGCCGCTTACTACACAAATGGCATTGAGGCCCTGGAGCAGGCCCAGAGAAAGGCTATGAAGCTGGTGAAGGGCCTGGACCACAAGTCCTGAGAGGAGCGGCTGAGGGAACTGGGTGTGTTTACTCTGGAGAAGAGGAGGCTCAGGGCAGACCTTATTGCTCTCTACAGCTACCTGAAAGGAAGTCGTGGGGAGCTGGGGGTCGTCCTCTTCTCGCAGATAACTAGTGATATGACTAGAGGGAATGTCCTCAAGTTGCACCAGAGGAGGTTTAGGTTATAAATTAGGAGAAACTTCTTCTCAGAAAGAGTAGTTAGGCATTGTAACGGGTTGCCCAGGGAGGTCGTGGCATCATCATCCCTGGGGGTGTTTAAGAAAAGATTGGACATGGTGCTTAGGGACATGGTTTATTGGGTGACATGGGTAGTAGGGTGATGGTTTGACCAGATGATTTTGGAGGTCTTTTCCAACCTTAATGATTCTATGATTTTGTTGAAAAACTTAGTCTCTTTGGGTAGAAATATACACACTTAGCAGCTTCAGTACTAAGTGAATTCAAGTCTTGTGCTCTTCAAGACTGAATAACCTGGCCAAGTTACTTGTTAAGGTATATTAGCCCTCTACACACAAAAGTCCCTGGAAGTTGCACATATAACTAGGGTATAGAATAGAAATTAACTCTTCATAATACACTGACTATTTGTGAAATTGGGAAATTTCTCTATAGTTTTAAGTCCCAGAAACATGGGAACTACTCTGTGTAAGCATTCTCTATTTTCTTGCAAATCTAAGTATTAACCTATTATACCATTTTTTCTCACATACATTCTATTTTCAAATTGAAGCAAGCTTAATCTCAATATGTATATATACATATGTATATTCCTCACCTTAATAGCTTGATTTTCTGGCAGAAGAAAATTGATTTTTTTCTGAAATTTCTCAGAAAATGAATGCTTAAAATCCACTGACCCTCTCAAAGTGAAATTATAACATTTCAGGTAATAGGAGAAATCTGATATTTAGAACAGTTGTTAGATCATGTGTTAATTGTAGTCTCCATTCATAAGAATACGTGGATAGTGTCCTACTATTCTAATTTAAATATGTATTTCTTGATGTTTCAAAGTCTGTTCATAGACAGTGGAACAAATAAATGCTTCCTCTTACTCCAGTTTCTCAAATTATTTCCACTGTTTGAACTGAGCATTAAATGCTATTATTTTAGATATTGGTCATCATTGTGTACCTTTATTTTCTTCTCTTAACAGAATGATTAAGTTGTTTTTATGTTTGTTTTCTGATTTATTTTTCTTAAGCATCTCTTTGTATGCCTACTGGGGGAATACTGATATAACTCCTGCCCTATGCTAATGTGACTTTATTACACCTCGACTGAAGTTGACTCGATGTGTTTACTGTTTGTCTTATATAAAAAATATATGTGTGTTGCTCAGAAGAGGTTAAGAGTTCAACAGAATTTAATTGAAACCTATTCTTCTGCTGGCTGTATCTCTTCTGTGAACTGGATTGCTTCCCTCTTAATAGGCTGGAAACATCCTTTGAATAACATATACAACATATTGTCTCATGCAGTATTACTGCATGAGACAATAAATATATATGGTGCCCAATGGGTACCACAGTTGGGTTATTAAGCTCATGTGTCGGTTTGGGGACAACTGCTGTAATACAGAAAAGTAAGCCTTAAGGCACTATATAAAATATTACGGATTACTGATTTATTGAGTGATGGTAACGAATGACAGGAAATACACTCTCTCTTAAATTATTCCCTCATGTAAAAGTATAGTCAATGATGTGCCTAGCAAAGCTGCACTTTGTGCAGCAATCAATGTGGCTGATCTCCATACTACAGCAGCTTTTCTGCAATAGTAATTCCCAGTGATCTCTGTAAGGGTCAGGAATTCTCAGCAGATCCCCAAGATCAACTCCTAGGAGATTAACAGGGGAATTTCACAGAAATTGTCTCTTTTACAGAATGTGAAAGGGAATTTCATGTATGGCTACATTACAGCTACCTGGAAAAAGAAATAAAGTTCAACAGCAGTGAAGCGGTTGAACCATGCTAGAAGTTTACAGACTTTAAAGAAAAAGTTAATTTTTATTTTCTTTTACCCACAGGTCTACCCACGGATAGCGCCGGCATTTTGGCACTACCTGCGGGTAGAAGTGAGTAGCGGGTATTTGAATACTCCCACATCTTTACTTTACAGCTTACTAGTACTTACTGACTTCCTAGTTTGTCCATTGTGCAAAAACAGCTGCCATTTTAGCTGTCATTTTCTGTGAATGTAGTCTTGTACTAATTCCATATTGTTTTGACTACAGTATAATTACTAACCTAAGTCACAAAGATGTGATATGTTTATATGCAAGACTAAGGACAAAAAAAAAAAAAAGAAATCTAAGTCAAGGCCATATCATACATTGTGATTATAGCACAAAATCAAAGTACTGAAATCCATATCTGCACCTCCTTTTATAAAAACATTTTACATTCATGAGAAGAATGTGGAGCTTCAGTTTTGCTATATAATTTTTGCAAAATTTGTACAACTCAACTTGATATCATTTCTCCCCTCTTTTGTCCCTCAGGAGCATGAGCAGCTCAGCTATTCCTCCACAAGGTCCAAGGCTCCAAGTGTTATCATCACAGGTCTCAAGCCAGCCACCAAGTATATATTTCATATCAGAGTCAGGACGGCAGCAGGATACAGCGGCTATAGCCAGAAGTTTGAATTTGAAACTGGAGATGAAAGTAAGTTTTACTGAAGGGAAAAAGAAATCAAATACAATAGAAGTAGCATTTAATTCTATAGCTGTCAGACATTGAAGTTTGAATGTCTGAATCCATATGATATGCTTATCACAGAGTGACCACTGCTGTATGATAAAAAAGTAAGTAAGCCTCAGCCTCACACTTCTGGATTCATTTATTTTTTTTGAGCAACACGTAGAAATTTGAGACCACTGTTGCAGGTGAAGGAGTGTTTCCTTCTGCAAGATTTCCTGGTTTGTCCCATATCCTTTCACTATTCACTTAAAGATGGCCTTCCTTTTAACATCTGGAATTATTCTGAGTAAGTCTTACATGTTATGTAAGTCCAGCAGCTTCATGCAAGCTCTTACAACATAGAGGTGGAGTCTTTCTCTATAGTTTTAAGTCCCAGAATCTATGATTAAAAAAATTAAAACTTTTACATGTATTTCAACAAGTAAGTCTACTAAATTTGCCACTGAGAAGAAGAAAATCCCTACATATTCCTGAAGCACATGCAAAAAGACCTGACTCATGCTCTGAAAAATTTTACATGTATATTGATCTTATATATTAGCCCTGCATTTTCAAAGAAACCATGTACGAGTTATTTACCAGCGTTTGAAATAAAATGAGTGTAGTAGATATCGCACTAAAACACTCATTAATGAAATTACTTTAATTTACCAATTATGTATACTATGTTTTTCATTAGTGTTTTAGAATTCAAGTTACTTAAGCTAAAGTAGAAACTGAAAACTATACAAGTGTTTTCAAGAGCACCCATGGGTTTGTGTTCCATTTTCATTGCTTCTTAACTTCTATTTCAAAAATGTTTTAGGGACAGATTTCCAAGTACTTAATACCTAATTGGACTTTTGAAATTTTCCTAGGTACTTAAGCCAATTGGTTTGAATAGACATTAAGCACTTGGGTGCTTTCCAGAATTCTAGTAGTTCTTGTCTGCATCTACTGGTGCAATAAATACTAGCCTTTAGGCACAGTGGGTCATAAATGTTGTCAAAAGTAAATGGTATTTAAACCTCTATGAGCCTATGTCATATATGTAGAAATGTGATTTAGCCATGCAAATCAGGAAGACTGTGGTTCCTGTGACATTTCTTGCATCAGCTCTTCTGATAGAAATATCTCCTAGGGAGTGAGAGTCTCTGCCTTCCAAAACCTACATCTTTTTCTCATTTGCAGTAATGCAACTGCTTGGTTGGGTTGAATGGTGAGGTAGAGTACAGTGTTAATCCAGTTTAAAATAAATTTATATATGGATCTGAACAAGTAATTGAATTCATAATTGGCAATTAACTGAGCACAGTATCAAAGACAAAAAAAAATTTAAGCTGACCACTGCTACTATAAGCAATGCTGTGGAACTTTAGTTGGTTTCAAACATGTTTGTAATCCATTAATAGTGTAGACTTGGATCCAGATGACTGAGCCAGTGGTGGCATTGTAAATGACCCTTCCATAAGATGTCATTACAAGTGTCTGAGGTCTGAAGCAGTTCAAATCTCTGTAGACATCCATAATTCCATAGTGCCTGAGGACTGTGTATATTGGAGCTCCTCTAGCTCCAACACCATAAGACAAAGAACTAAGGATGGTACTGTGAAAAGCATAAACAGTGACTTAGAAGCCTGAGTTTTTCTCCAGACTCAGTGGAGGCAGAGGATGACTAGTAGGGCTGTATGGTTCAGTCCTCCATTTTAAGGTAGAAGAACAGGTCATAGGTTAAAGTGATGCTATTATGAGTTTCACTCAGAAACAGGTAAGTATAATTTTCTTTCACTGGGAAGTGAATTACCACAGCAACAAAAACATGATCCATTAAATAATTCAGCGAAAAAATAAATAAATAAATAAATAAATAAATAAAACAAAAAACAGGTTATTTGCTTCATGTGTAATTTATTTTTTTCAAATTTAGAATGCATTTCAGAGAAACATTGGATTTTGCAATATGAAATGGTATCATAATTGATGCTTTGTTTGAAAGTTCACTGGCTTATAATAATTTATAGCATGTATGTTTCTAAATGTCTGTCTTCTCACTGCGTGGGAACACAAGTTTCCTTCAGAAACAGGGATATCTTGAAAAAACAAATTTCAGGTTTCAACACTCAACATTTAATGCCTCAATTACTACAAAGCATTCAGTGTGAATCTTGATAGTAAAACATAAATACACATTATATATTTGTTATTTACCAACATGAATTGGTTAGTCTTGTGCCTGCCTTAAAGTATTTAATTTGTTACAAAATGAGATAATTGTGTGATGGAGAGGAAATGTAGGCTTTGTTAAGGATCAGCTGAGATGAGGGTAGAGAAAAATTCTGCAGCTCAGTTTGAAATGGTACCTGGAGCTAGGTAAAAACTGCAGTTTAATTGAAATGGTAGTTCAAAGGTTTGTTACAGCTGTGGTCTTATTTAGGTATTTCTACAGTACTGCTTTAGATTTCAAAGGAAAAAAGAAAACAAAGGGAGTGCCTGGTAGTAACTATTTCTTATTTCAAATGGAAGCAGTGATCAGTCAAATGATAACCATTGCTCTCCAAATATTGTTCTACCTCAAAGCAGTATTTTGAAAGTAGTCCTATTTTAATCTTTAATGCAGCATCAGATTATTATGGTTATTCATTTGAACCCCTTTTATAACACCAACCAAACCTGTGTAACTCAGTAGCTTTTTCAGACAGTTTATGACAATAGATTAAAATATACCATCTCCAGCAATGGGAAGCTCACCATATTTATAGGGAGGTAGTTCCAGTGCTTAGCCCTTGTTATTAAAAATTTGCAACTTGTTTATGGCTTGACTTTGTTTTTTTAGCTTGTATCTTTTGACCCTTCTCTGACAAATTAAAAAGGCAGATACTATCAGGAATGTCTTCCTCTTCTAAATGTGTGTAGGCTCTTTTTAAGAATACTCTCATCTTTCCCTTAAGTGAGAAAAATGCTGTCTCCCTCTAAAAGGCAGTTCATCCAACCATTGAATCAATTTTGTAGCTCTCCAGAATTTTAGCATTCTTGGTGAAGTATAACATCAGAGCTGAACCTGATACTGAATTGAACTGGAAAAGTAAACCTGTTTATGATGCCATAAACAGTCATAACACCACTTACCTCCTTATAGTTTAGTTTTCTTTTATTTATAGATCCAAGTACTTGCAGTCTCAACTAGAGCATTGCCTTACACAATTGAATAACCAGCACATTGCAACAATTTTGTGAGTACTGCTGTATTCCAAGATACTGGCCTTCATTTAGATGCAAGGGTTGAGGAGGGTTTAAACTTGTATTGCATATTCATATAAGTGCATGTAAATGATATGTCACCCTTACTGGTGTGCACCTATCTTACCAAGCAGTCCAAGTTAAACTGTAGCAATCTGTTTTTGTCAATTACAGCTCTGGCAGTATTCATTTCAGCTGATTTTTTTTTTAATTTTTAATACATTTTCTTCTAAATTATTCTGAAAGATACCAAATAATATTAGACCAAGGTAGACTGTTACAGCTTCCTCAATCTCTACCCATTAGAAACAAGCTACTTGGTGAACATTCCACATTTGCAATTAATTTTTGTGGTCTTTCAGTTAGCCAGTTTTTAATTGATTTGAGGTGAGCTATACTGATTTTACATAAAGTTTTCATCAGAATGGTAGGAAAAATAAAGTGTTTAAAAGATCTGTGTTATCCAAATAAAATCTATCCACCGACAACCTCATAAAAATTACAGTAAACACTTCAAGTCATGTGTTTGTACATGTTATATTAGCCTCTAGAGAAAAAATTTGGGACCAGTTGCAGGAGAACAACCAAAAATATTCTATTTATTCTACTTGAATATTGATACAACTTGCTGATAAATAGTGGTGCAATGAGCAGTCCATAATTACTATTTTTCTTTAAAGTGATAGACAGATTCTAAAGAAAGTAATGGAACAGATATTCACTCTTCAGTTGTGACAGATCTATCAACATCCTAAAATGTATTGTCCTTTGCAGGACAGTGCTGTCATGCCTTTTCCAGTTTACTGGTTGAAACACTACCTGTGCTGCTGCTGTTATACAGTTTAAAATAAGATACATCATCACTAGGTGATGATCACAAGAAATTTTGGTGTAATTATTAATGGTGGTGCATGAAGCAGAAAGAAGATTAACTCTGTAGGATTCATGAAAAAACAGTTAATCATGCAATGCTGGTCTGGGTTTTTTTTGTGCAGCACCCTGACTTCCTGACCAGCAGACTGAGGCAACCATTGCCTAGGGAGTTTGCTGCCGGAGAGCTCTTCTTCCCACTGCAGAGTCAGCTGAAAGAATAAAATTTGTACTTTATTCGCGAAGGGAAATGTCATTATCTAGAAAATCAGAGAAATTCTCTCTTCAAGGAACCAGGGACAGATGAATGGATGTTGTCAGGGGTGTTTTCCACTATTAAAGCTAAGAGAAGCTGGGAAATTTCTACATAATACCTTTGAAAAGCATAGTAACTACTGCCTTTGACCGTCCTCCTTACTGCCATTTTATGCAGTCTCCCTGTTTGAGAACCTCACAGGTAAAATATTTCTAGTGAAGTTGACAGGGTTTCATATACTCCAGCACACACACGTGTACCACTGTTGTGACTATAAATTGAAGCATAACCTCAGTCATAGTTCCTTCTTTTATGTATCAGGAGTACCAACTATTTAAGTCACCACAAAAAGACTCCAGTCCTTTCTAGAATAGAAAAAAAACACGTATTCCAAAAATAAAAGATCATTTGTCCCAGCATAAACATCTTTTAATCCCTCACTGTTTTCTCTCTTTCTCTCTTTTCTTTCTTGCTGGCTTTACAGAATATGTTGAGATGGTTATTTTTTTGAAAATTTAATGATTCAAAGCATTCTTGTTTGTTTTTCTGGAGGAATGCTCTTTACTAGATCACCCCAGTGGCTCTTGTGCCTACAGGAATTTGTAAAAAATTGAATGATTTA